CAGGCTGGGCCGGGCGTGGTGAGGGTCAGGCAGTCACTCTGCGTCATCCTGGCCTCTGACACCGGCTCCGGGACCTCAGAAGGTGACGGCTACAAGTCGGGTGAGCAGACCTCGGGGACAGACACCTACTGCTCGGCACCATCCCCGCCCAAGGAGCTCCCGGGGCCCCTTGGCAAGGTGTGTGGGGCCCTCACATGGTCTCCTGAGCCTGAACTTCTGAGCGTGGGGGCAGGGAATACGACATCGCATAACGTCTGCGGAATCCAGAGGCTGTCTGACTGATGCCAGCAGCTGGGAACTCACCCCCCTGAAGTCGGCTTCTCCGAGGCCAAGCAGTTTTTACTTCGGGGAGGTTTTCTTTGCTCATTTTTTAAAATGTTAAGCCCAGATCTACCGCCTTCTAACTTCCTGATCTAATTTTGCCTCTGGGGCTTTCAATGACCCCTCCCCACCTGGAAACACCACTGACATCTCCTCCATGTTTAAACCTCCTTCGCAACGACCATGCAGACCCCCGCAGCCAGCTGCCGTGTCTCCCTCCACCAGGTCTGAACGCAGGGAGGCCTCACACTTGGGCAGTGCTGGAGGCGGCGGCCTCCCGAGGTGTGCGTGCAGGTGACGTGACCCTCCCAGTAGAGGCAGAGGTGTGGGGTAGTGCCTAACGGACGTGCCCGCTGTGCACACCAGGCTGCACTCCACACACCCAGGCGCATGCCCGGTCGTTTACACTGATGCTAAGCCAAGTCTCCTCAGAGGCCCGTCACCTCTCATCTCCTGGCCGCGGGGCTCCGGCCACACCGCTGCTAAGCCAAGTCTCCTCAGAGGCCCGTCCGTGCCTGCCCGTCACCTCTCATCTCCTGGCCGCGGGGCTCCGGCTGAGGAGCGAGTGGTGGAGGATCGGCTGTCACTCAGAACTTCAGCTCCCCAACAACTCTGTGTCGTCTGCACATTTGATCCACAGGCTTCTGAGGTCTTGATCAAGCCACTGGCTCTGCAGCTGAGCTGCCGGGCGGTGCAGTGCACCAGGGCCAAGCTGGGAGGACACAGACCATCCCCTCACCCACACCCCAGGGCGACGGGACTCCTTCACGGTGAATGCACCCGCCTCCCAGAACATCTCCACACGTTGGTGCGGGCAGCAGCGGAACCTTCTCTCCCCAGCAGAATCGCGGGTGAGACCCTGTGTGTGAGAGGAGTGGAGGCTGACCTGGTTGAAGCTGGAAGGTGCGTCCCCATCTGCACCGGCCCCCAGGCAGCGGCACAGAAGAGAATTGGAAAGGCCTGAACCGGCGGACTTACAGAGCTCAGGCCTGCCCAGAAGAGAAGGGGCGGTGTCTGAGCCTCAGCCCACGGGGGTGGGGGGTGGGGGGGGGCTGATGTCCAGAGTGGAAACAGAGGCTCTGAGCTCCTGGGAGAGGCAGCATCACCTTCTCCATTTGGAAGCTCAGAAACGTGTGCTGAGATGTGTGGGAGAGTCGCTGACTGAGGAAGAGCAGCTCTGCCAAGACCGAATCCCGCCTTTTGCCACAAACGTCACCAAACACTGCGTCCAACTCAGCGGATACAGCCAGGGGGCAGCCTCCGTCTCCCGTCTCCGGCAGGTCCACCGTGAAAGGACAGCGCGGTCTCCAGCCCAGGACTGGCACGGTCCGTAGCCACAGGAAGGACGCGGGCAGAAAGCACCCGTCCTGGGCAGCCCCGGCCTCCGGAGCAAGAAGGCAGCTCTGCTGTGACCACGAGGCCCTCAGGTGATGACCCCCTCTTCCTGGAGAGGTCCACCAACTGCCCCTTTTGTCTGAATTAAGCTGGAGGTCAGAGCTCACCAAGAAACGGCAGGGAATTCTTTGAAATATGAGTGACAACATAAGAAATAGGGGTAGAGCAACACAATTTTAACTTTTGAGACGAAGCCTGGAGCTCAAGAAAGCAATGAGGTCTGCTCCTGGCCCTGCTCCCTCGTTCCCTTCCAGGCCCCACAAGGGATTTGCTGGGGAAACGGCCCAATGCCCAATGCTCAGGAACCAGCCGGCCAGGCCTCCGCGCCGCCGCCGCCTCCACGTTTGGCCGGTAGAGGGCGCTGCATCACCACACTCTCACTCCAGCCTAAGCTTTGCAACCTGATCCTTGGTTCACACAAAGACCAGGCTTGAGGGGGTTGTTCGTATGCTTGTGGTTCAATACTACAGGAGTAAGAAGCAGCAAAACACAAACCTGCTATGACATGATATCACCTATGTAAAAAGTGCACAGAAAAATGACAATGATGCACCTTTGCTCACGGAAATGGGGTTTCTGTGTGTTCGTTATTTTCTGTATTCTGTCAATTTTCAACAAGTCTGTCTTACTCTCATAATCAGAAAATCCCCAGGATTGCTCAGGGGCTCGGGAGTTTTTGGGGGGAGGGAGGCGGTGGATGAGAGCAGCACGAGGTCCTAGGCTGATGGAGAAGCATTTCTGCAAAACTGAGTACTTGCCTGGACCTGCGCTGAGCGTGGGAGATCCCGGCACTGGACACAGCCCTGCCTCGAGGAGGTCGCAACATGAGCACAGCACAGAGTGAATGCTTAACAGCCGAGAGGCGCTCAGAACAGAAAGCCAAGACCCAGGCCCAGCCCCTGGTGTTCAGGGAAGGCTTCCTGGGAGAGGGGGCATGGAGCTGATATCACAGGTGTCACATGAGCAAAGACGCAGACGCAGGAAACAGGAAGGAAACAGGAAGGGAAGAAGAGGCTGCCAGGTCAGCGTAAGGTCTGAGGCTTGGGGAGGGGAGAGCAGAAGCTGCCAGATTCCTCTGCTGGGAGATTAGAGAGACCTGAAGCCTCAAGGGATAAAGTAACACACTCATCCGTTCATCAATCTTCAATGGAAAACTTGAGTAAGTGATCAGCATCTCATCTTTAAAAATTACCAAAGACGCTGGATAAGAAAACAACACAGAAACCAAAGGCACAGAAGCCCTATGACTCGGGAGGCCTGGCAGGTGCGCAGGCGCCTGTAAACCATTGCCCAGCGGCAGCGGAGAGCTGGGAGAGACAGTGGTTTTGACTGGGAAGCACTACTGTAACATTCAATTATCCTACTGCCTACTGGCTGACTTAACTCAGCCAAATTAGAATACATTTTATATTGACTATTTTGACATTTGTTTTATTTGGCAAGTAAAACAAAACTGATCCAATTTCCTTACAACCACTGTAAACCATAAACTATACAACCAGAGGTTATAAAATATATAAGCCTTATAAACACCACCTGCAGTTCCGCCCGGTGCCGCCCCGGGTGTCTCGGGCCCTCTCACCTCAGTGGCCAGTGACCATGCTCCACCGCTGACCGGCAGCCTTCTGTGGAGACCGGGCCTCCTGCTTTAACTCCCTGGGAGAAGCAGCACTTTCTTTACCCAACAGAAAGGTAGACCCTGCCCTGAGGTTGTGCCCGTTTCTAGGTCCTTCCAAGCCATATGATGTCAACAGGGAGCAGCTGTAACTACCCCAGGGATGAGCCTAAATGAACCCGCCCACAGGTGATGGGCCTGAGCTGCCCCTGAGCACAGGTGACCATGGTGATTGCACCTCTGACCGTGCCCTGCGTAGTGAGCAAGCGCTGAACTGAGTTGCATTAGCCTGGAGCTCCTAACCCAGGGGTGGGGAACCTTTCTTCTGCCAAGCGCCATTGGATATTTACATCATTCGAAGGCCATAACAATTATCAACTTAAAAGTAGCCTGCTATATTTGGGCAAACATTTAATTCATTAACTCATCCCTAATGCCTTGGCAGGGCCAGACCAAACGATTTCGAGGGCCTTACACGGCCCATGGCTGGACGTTCCCCACCCCTGTCCTAAACCAAACAGAGACACTCAGCTGCTCCACCTGCCCTCTGGGTACTCATTCGCTACCTGTGTCTTTTCCCATCGAAGTGAACTGGAAAACCGCTTCTGAAGTCTCAGGCGGTTCCAGGGGTAGTTAAGCTGAAGGACCACTCTTGGCTGTGGGTCTGTCAGGAGAAAGCCCAGACTGTCTTTATGGAGGATGAGCTGAAGGACGGAGCCCTCGGAGCTGCTGGCTTCTTCCGAGAGGCAGATGGATGCTCAGAGACCAGTGCAGCCCCGCCACCCCTGCACCGCCACGGGCAAGGCGTGGGTCATGGATCAGGAGGGGGAGCCCACCAGTGACCATTTTGCCCTGATCCTGACAGATTGTGTTCATCTCTATTCGCCCACATGGAAGCTTCTAGATCCATTCTCATTTATGTTACATCAATCCCCAATGACACCGCCCCGCCAAACCTTTCTTGTTTTATTTACTTTTGTGATCCCCGTCTCAAACTTAACCCATCATCACTGTTTGTTGTTCCTTGTCCTCAAATAATTTCCTCCTAGTGATGCGAGGTTTCTTTAGTGACAGGATTCCTTTCCCACCCGCGTCTTGCAGAAAGTGGAGACCGTGTCCACCTCGATTCCGACTGAAATCGGCTGCAGAGCGCCCAGGTTGCTCTCCGGAATTTCTTTGTGGAAGCAATGATTAAAACTAACATCTCCCGAAAAACTTCTCACTATTCTCTCAAACCCAAACTGCTCATGTCTTAGTTCTACTCATTGGGAAAAGGAACAGTGTGAAAATGAACACAATTACTTACCAACCCTCCTGGGTTTCAAATGAGTGGCCGGCCCAGGCAGAGAAGGAAATGCAACTTCTTCCGGCCGGGCTCCAGCCCTGGGGCTGCGGGCCCTGCCTGCGTGCAGCCGCCAGCCCTTCAAGCTGCATGCTCTGCTACTTTAGGGGCCTTCAGAATGTGTGCAGGACAGAATACACAATGGCCTTTACATTCAAGCAATGCAAAGATTTCTAATTGGATTTTAAAACATCCTCCAAAGGTAGACTGCTTCTGCACGATTTCAGCAGATACTGAGTGGAGGGGTTCTGAAACATGTGCCCTGGAACCCAAGACCACGTGACTGTCACATGCATCGCAGCACGAGATGCCAGGACCACGCCTCACCTGGGAAGGCTGGGGGCTGGGGTGGAAGCAGCTGACGACTGGGAAGGTGTTGTGGGTTGAGATGAGTCATGGTTTCTTGGAACTCTGCCCATTCGATACCAGATCCCCATGCTGTTCAGTTCCCTTTAGGAGAAAAGAGAAAACTTCATGGCGCAGCTTAGCACAAAGCATTTACCTGAGCGACAAGGCAAACCAACTCCTTTAAAAGAATCACAGCCTCAAACACCAGGGAACTGTTGTCCAGACTGGTCACATCACCCCCTTGGGCCCTGGGCATCACAGTCCAGACTGGCCTTCCTGCCTTCCTACTGCACTTTCCTTGGTTCTCGGTCTTTAAATTTTTTTAATTTTGTCATTTAATTGTGGGTGTTTACACGACAATCCACTTCAAGCCCCACTTCTAGTTCAGTGATACCGGCTCCCCTCGCACTTCAAGCAAACACCACAACTCGCCTGTCACCCAGCCTGTGCCAGGCCGATGGGCAAAGGCCCGGCTTTCAGGGGAAAGAGGAGGGTCTGGATTAAATGAACAAGAAGAGAAACAGAACATGACCCAGATCCAGGAGGCGATCTCAAAAGCCAATAGGAGAACTTATCCGTGGGGCCCCACGGGGTCCAGCGAGATGCCTACAGAGCCAGCCAGGGAGAGAGGCACGCGGCCGAGGGCCGAAAACCATCTACCACACCGATGAAATCCTGGGTCTCGGGTGGCTGAGTACAATGAACATCTATTGTCTTTAGGACACCCAGCATCCATTCACTCCCCAGTCTGACTTTTTATCTCCCCTCTGCATCTGGGGGCAGCCACCCCTCATTCTTGGTCCCTGAGTTCCAATGGCTCGGGCCTGGGAGAGAGAACGACATTTCCCAGGCAGCAGTGACAGGGTCAGGGTGCACAGGACCCCAGGGGGTCCATCAAGACCAATGAGACTGAGTTCTAGAACTTCTGTTTGAATGATCGGGAACACAGACTTGCTCTTTGCCTCGGGACTTGAACCTGGAGGAAAAGTAGGCGAACCAAGCGGGCCACCATTCCCCCACTGGGGAGAACATGTCTAGGGATGGGGTCCCCTGGAAACAGAGCCAGGAGGAGAGAGGGAGAAACTAGATCCTAGTGATGTTCTCCGAGCACCTGCTTCGGGCCACCCTGAGCCAGCCTGGCCCTGAGCTCTGCTGTGACAGCAGCCAGCCAACAAGCGCCTCCTTTTGCTTACGCCAGCCTGGGCTGGGTTCCCTCTCACCACAGTCAAAAGAGCCCAGAGTGAAATCCTGAGATTCCTTGTACTTGGTGCTTATGAAGTGGCTTCAGAGCCAGGCCTGTGCCGATACTGAGGCCACGGGTGAACCAGCCCTCTGCTCTTCAGGGAAGACGAATGTGCAGCCAGAAAACTGCACAAGGAATTATCACGTGGTCATGAAATAGCATGTTTTTCCCGACTCAGAACCCCCCACTGGCATCGGGTGCACTGGGAGAAAATCCACACCACGATCATGTCCCACGAGGTCCTGGTGGCTGCTCCCCTCCCCTCACCGACTCCCCCTCGCTCGCCCAGCCAGCCACGCTGCTCCCGGACATGCCACGCCCGTTCGCACGGGCGTCCCCTCCTCTGTCAGAGGCCCTGCCTCTTACACTCTGCAGGGCGGCTTCTTCTTACGCTGGAGGTCTCTGCTCAAGCCTCCCCACCTGACCCCCTCGCTGAAGGAGCTGCTGGTTCACTGTAGTGTCTCATTTTTGTTGCTCCCTAAAATGATATCATCATTAATGTCCTGTTCGTTGCTCGCCTCTCCTGTCAGGACACAACTCTGAGAGCAGACGCTTCGTTTGCCTCAGTCGCCACCTGCCAGGGTCTCTGGCCATGGAACGAAGGTGCCGTGAACTCAGTGGGCGAATAAACTGCCGAGAGCCGAGGCTCAGGGGTCCCAAAGGAGAGAACCCCTGGGCTTGGGGGCACCTGAAAAGCCCGTCAAGGATTAACACCAGGACAAGGCCACGGAAGGCCCTGAGAGCGGCGAGGGGCACGAGCTGAGGCGCGGGGGGTGGACAGCGTGGTGGTCTGGGCCGGCTGCAGCTCGCACAGGGAGAGGAGGCGAGAGAGACCTGGCTATGGAGACTCACCCAATGAACGTGTACTGCGGGGGGGCCTGCTTGGTCCGGCCCATGATCCGGATGTCACAGATCGCCGCCTCCGTGGAATCCCGGGGGATGAATTTAATGCACAGCCTCTTCTTTCTAAAAGCCACTTCCTCTGCAGGAAAGAACAACAAGGAAAGGTGTGAGTCTCTACACCAGCGGTTCTCAACCTGTGGGTCGCGACCCCTTTGGGGGATGAACGACCCTTTCACAGGGTCGCCTAAGACCATCGGAAAACACATATATAATTACATGTTGTTTTTGTGATTAATCACTATGCTTTAATTATGTTCAATCTGTAACAATGAAATTGGGGGTCACCACGACATGAGGAACTGTATTAAAGGGTCGTGGCATTAGGAAGGTTGAGAACCGCTGGTCTATACGGAGCATCAGGTCTCCCGTAACGTTCTCTTTCTGGTGGCGGAAGGGGCTGGTCATCCAAGCGCCTGACAGAAGGGCTGGCCCTGCGCCTCCTGCCCTCCCCGGGCCCACAGCGGGCAGCCGGGTGTGCGGGGCCGGAGCGCAGCCTTTCCCCGCGGAGAGGGCCTCCTGGGGCGCGTCACCTCTGCGAGGAGATGCCGCACTTGCTCACTGCGGCAGCCTTCACACAGGCACACGGACACCTGCGCGTGAACACACGTTATTACATGGACTGTTTTCATTTTTCCTTTTCATTGTAGAAATTTTCAAACATTCCCCGAAGTGCATGACCCCACATGTTCCTGTCATCTAGTTTCAACACTGTTCCCAATGGACAGGCTGGTTTCATCCCACGTGGCCAGGCTGGAGGATTTAAGATGAATCCCTAACACCGTGTCTTGTCACCTGTCGATAGCTCAGTAGGCATCTGGGGCAGACAATCTTTTTTAACACAATCACCATGCCATGATCATCCTTAAGAAAATGAACAACAATTCCTAATATCATCCAATAAATAGTCTGTATTCAAGTTCCCTTCATTATCTCAAGAATGTCATTTCTCTGCTGGCTTGTCTGACCGTGGCTGTCAGGTCTCTCAAGTCCCTTTTATTCTGTTTCAGCCTCTCGTCCTCCCTGTCTTCGGGGCGCTGGTGCTGGAGAAACTGGGTCACTCCCCTGTACCTATGAACTGGCAGCTACAGCTAAAGGCCCAGTAAGAGGCAAGTTAGGGTTCTTTAGGCAAGAACACTTCCCTGGTGGTGCAGGTACAGCTCGCCCCCTCGGCTTCTGGGGGTGTCGGCCTGTCCCCCGTGATGAAGTCCCCAGCAGCCACTCTCTGAGTATTCGCCTCCCCTGACAACTGCTGCTTAGATCCATCATTTCATTAAAGCAGTGGTTCTCAACCTGTGGGTCGCGACCCCTTTGGGGGTCGAACGACCCTTTCACAGGGGTCTCCTAAGACCATCGGAAAACACATATATAATTACATATTGTTTTTGTGATTAATCACTATGCTTTAATTATGTTCAATTTGTAACAATGAAAATACATCCTGCATATCAGATATTTACATTATGATTCATAACAGTAGCAAAATTACAGTTATGAAGTAGCAACGAAAATAATTTTATGGTTGGGGGTCACCACAACATGAGGAACTGTCTTAAAGGGTCGCGGCATTAGGAAGGTTGAGAACCACTGCATTAAAGGTTTCAAAGTGGCGATTTTCTAAAGCTGTCATCCTTCCCCATTTTTAGCTGGAATTCTTCTATATAAAAAAATAACTTTTCTTCAACTACTTGGTCTCTCTGGAATATGTTGTATAGAAAACAAGATAAATACGTGATTCTTTATCGAGTTTTCGTGATGAGTCTGCGCCTTCGCAG